CCATTTTGTGAGGCCACAGCCAAATTGCAGCCAGGATTATAAGCCCTTCCCTCCATCAGCCCTCCGCCTACCCCTACTTTGAAAAGTAGGTAAACAAAGGCAGGGACAAGAGGCTCTTCTAATGTCCTATGCTCGCTTCTTCTAACAAGACGCAAGTAAGAGGACAGAGGTAGAGCCACGCCTGGCACAGCAGTGAAACTGCATGCGAGAGCTTGAGATGTTTGTAGCATGAAAGCCGGGTAATTAATATCAGCAGAGTAAGTCCCCGGAAAAGTGAAAGGGTCATTTCCACAAACAATGAATCATCACGCTTGTGAGAGAGGCATCCTCTGTCCCCCACCAGGAGTCATTTTTTTTTATGCTCAACAAAGCAATGTGAAATGAACTATTTTCATAAACAGATGGTCTTTAGGATAATGGCTTGTACTTTTTAATTTCCTTTCTGGCAATACTTCATGCCAAGTGTCAGGGATGTCAATAGTCTTCATTAGAAGTGGCCTGATATTGCTGGGATCTTTTGTACCGAAAAGATCCATCCCCCCCCCACCCCCCCGCAATAGTATACGTGGAAAGCACAGAAGTTTAAGAAGCTACAGGAAGATCAACATTTAATTTATTTAAACCGAGGGGAAATGAATCCTCATCCAAACCCAAGACTAAAAATTTCAGGTCTAAAGCATTCCTTGTATCTTTTCGACTCCACGGCTTCACCGTCCTTCGGAAGTCAGTAATCTCTAAATGCTCTCACAGCAAACATCTTTTGTTCCTCAACTGTATTCTTAACAAGGGATAAGTGATGCCCCATTTATAACATTTTCAATTCATAGAGTCCACATGTGGTCGTGTCCTAGCATAGCCAGACAGTGTACATTTCAGAAAAAAAAAAAAAAAAAAAACTAAACCTCATAAATCTCCAGAAATTCCTCACATCTATTATTTTTACCTTCTGCTGCTGATGAGCCTGTTGGGCTCTGTACAGAGGAAATTACAAGCGCTCCAGAAGATTTGGCAAGAAGATGCTAGAAGAAAACAATGGGCAAAAAAAAAAATCTTAACTGAAGCATCCTATCCAGCTTTGGCTACCATTTACATATTTGAAATTACAGCTAATAAAATGGAAATTCCATTGAAATGGAATAAATTGTTTTCTGAAATCCCTATCTGATTACTGCTGGTGATGTCTGAAATTAAACATGTGAAGCTACACTCAATATACTTTTTGGAATCCAACTGAAGGCGAACGTGCTATTGAAAAATCGGTCTGTTTATACAATTTTCCAGTTAGGAACCGAGGTACTTGAATCCCCCTAATACTTTCACTCCTGGCCTTGTGATCACTTTTCCTATTAATATATGTTACCAAACAAATCTCTCTCTGCTTAATAGATGTTTGGAGGCTGTTGGAACAGCTGCTAACTAGTAAGGAAATGCCAGTAGAAGTATTTTATAGTCACACATTTAAATACCACTGGAAGTCAGCTTAGAGCTGATGCCAAGGGAAATACTTATGTTTAAGGCATATCCCGCATAGTGATAAAAAATTAATAGGTCAAAAAAATCTTTCGCCCAAGTGATGTACACACAATGCCAACACAACCAAGGGAACAGCAAAAGCCTAACCACCAGGCTTATGAGTATTATTCTTTATTTCTGTTGACTCATTTTAAAGGTCCATTTTTCCACCACGGTGACCAGGTATGCGTCATTTTGAAGACACCATCTTATAACCCACGTAGGAAAAAGGTCTTAAAGAAAACATAACTCCTGTGATGTTCAAACAGGATTTAATGTACATGCTTAATGTTTGTCAAGTACATAATTGAGCCGAAACCAGTTTGGCTCAGTGGATAGAGCGTCAGCCTGCAGACTGAAAGATCCCAGGTTCGATTCCGGTCAAGGGCATGTACCTTGGCTGCGGGCACATCCCCAGTAGGGGGTGTGCAAAAGGCAGCTGATCGATGATTCTCTCTCATCGATGTTTCTAACTCTCTATCCCTCTCCTTTCCTCTCTGTAAAAAATCAATAAAATATATTTTAAAATAAATAAATAAATACATAATTGATATTTGCTCTTATATTTCATTCATCAGAAAGATAAGGATAGGTAACAAATTATGTGCAGATTCATTTCAAAGGATTCAATCTTGTAATCAAGTTGGGAGGTGCAAGCTACCACCGCCAAAGAACAAACAAAACAAAACGAAAACCACTGCGCGAATATCAGCTCTTACTCCTCCATATAAAAAGTGAACATCGCAATGCAAAAGATCTGAGCAAAAAGAAAGTGATCAGTTAACCTCAGTCGGCACACACATACTTCTCCACGATTGGCCATGCACGGGGCTGACATGCTAACCCCTTACCGCCTTCTGCACGACTTCCTGAGCTCTAAACAAACCATCCAGAAACAGGGAACCAAGGACCCATCCCACTACAGAAACCCATTGTATCATTGTAAAACCAAGTCCAGTACTTAAGGAACTTAATATGAACGTCTTCC